GCTTTTCTAACCAAGCTCTTTATTTTTCTTGTTTTCTTAATATCACAGGAGGAAAGGTGTCATAATCGGCAATGACCAGGAAGGAGATGACTCTGTAATTACTGCCCATGTATGTTTATCTTTCTTTGCTCTTTAAGCTGTATTTCTTCAGCTGTATTTTGAATTGATTCTGCCCTCTTGCTGTCAGTATATATTGCTGCTTATAATCATGTTCTCCATCCCCTCTTTCTTTGTTCTGTTTGGATGACTTTATGTGATTGTAAAAATCCACTTCCGAACACAGGTCCAGCAATCAATCGTTCATGCCTTTTTTAGGTAAAGAAGTGGCTGAAAAATGGCCGTAATGCATATCATAGTGGCATGTGTGTGAAACTTAATCATCGTATGTTAACTTTTATTATTGGGGTTGACATCTTTCTTTTTTACCTACTGTTCAGATTTCATTCGAGCTGCTCTTTACTGTTAAATTCTCTACCTTTCTGCCAGTTTAGTGCTACTACAATTGAGAAACTTCAGTTGACCATGCCTCTTTTTTTTCTTATGCCAGTTTGCTCTTTGCTTACCTCTACAAATACTCTTGCAATTTTTGAATCTCCACAGTTGTTACAAAAAGTTTGGATATGGCAACAATTTATGGATTGTGCATGAGTTATAAGTTGCAGAACCATCATCTTGCTTATGCTTTTTATGTTTGATGGGTTTCTCCTTTCTGTAAGAAGAAATAAAAGAAATACTAAACCTCACGAAGAATTATAAACTCCCAATTCCCTGTTCATCAATGCTTTTGGAGTCTTACATAGGCGTTTGGACGTAAATAATTTATTATTTGCAATTCAATGTTTGTTTTAAAATTTTGTCCACTATTCAACTTCAACTTGAAATAGAGAATCTGGTTTGAGGAGTATTTAAAGTGAAACAATGGTTTTCACTTGTAAGATGTAAACTGTTTTCAAGTGCAATTCATGTCCAAGCACAATTTCAACTTCCAAATACCTTTTTTTCAACTTCAACTTCAAGTACTTGTTTTTTCAACTTCAACTTCAAGTCCTCGTTTTTCAACTTCAACTTCAAGTACTCGTTTTTCAACTTCAACTTCAAGTACTCGTTTTTCAACTTCAACCAAGTGTTTGTCCAAATGGGCCCACATGTTACATTGTTATGCTCAGCTTCCTTGAAAAATGTGAAATACCTTTTTATAATGATATGGTCGAGAAATCATTTAGTTTAGCTTTGGAATTCGGTGGATAATGGGCATCTCTCCAGCCTTTCCACTTGAATACCATACTTGGTGCAACAACCAGGTTTCAAACTAGTTATGTGTGTCTACGGCACATCCCGACTTGTACTATCTTTGCTGTTGAACTAAAGCCCTGGGGGTAAAAGGTTTTTAATACCTAAGGCAATATTTTTTGCTTATTGTTGTCTTTTGACCAAGGGCAAAACCAGAACAAGTTGGTGATCGGCTGAATCTCTGGCTTACCCTTGGTGAAAAAGAATACTCTGCACCGAATGATATTTATTGTAGCATTCTAGTATTTGTGTGACAAAGTTGTGTGAGAAAGATGTATCATGCTTATTTGTTAGTGTATCTATCTAATAATTAATACCTTAAGCAAACAGTGTCTAAAACAGATCAGTTTACAGGCAAGGAAGATGTGAAGTTATGAGAACTTGTTATCTTGTAGATTCATGAAACTTCAAGAGCATGTTACTTGCATATCTTTGCTGCTTTGAAACTGAGATATAATGATTGCTAATTTACATGGCTTCTAAGGGTTCTTCTCAAAATTCATTCTTTTCAGCCCTGGAACAGTATGCATTTATTCTGAAAGTATTATGACATTAGTAACTGTCTTCTGTTTGCTGAGGCAATACTATTTGTTTCTCAGGTCCCTCTCAACAACATGTTTGGGTACTCAACATCTCTACGATCAATGACACAGGTCAGTAATTTTGTTTCCATTTCCTCAACAAATACTTTTATCAAAGAAAGGGAGAGAAAGGCCAGAGGTGATTTCAAACTTTTTAGCTTTTGCATTGATCGTAGGGAGTGAAATGAAGGCAGGAGAGAGTGTTAATTTTGTTTTCATCCTAAAGTGGGTGAAAACCTTAAAATAAGTAAACACGTTCTGATGAAACTCCTCTCCTCTAACTTTGTTTTCTTCTTTTCTTTTTTGCCTAGTCTCATTTTTTTTCCTTTTCCTTTCAATCCAAAATATCCGTACAATGCATAATGTGGAAATTTGTGGTACCAATCCATGCTCTCTTTGCTTAGTGAAAGCCATTGATATATCGATCATTTTTTGTTTCATGCAGGGAAAAGGTGAATTTACAATGGAATACAAAGAGCATGCACCTGTTTCAAGTGATGTGCAAACACAACTGGTTAACACATACAAGGCCAGCAAAGAAAGTTGATCATATGGTTTGCCTTTGAAGAAGCTCCTACACTTACATCGTGTCTAATAATTTTTATAAATTTTTGTCTCCTTGGGTGGGCATGTTGTGAAATCATTTGGACCAGAACTGGTCTATCAATTTTGATAAGCTGAATAAGACATCAACATTCCATTATGTATACAAATAATTATTTTACTTATATACGTATAAGTTGTGTATCCCCCTTGAAAAGAATTACAGTGCATTGATTTTACTGCGCGCACACACTCAAGCTCTCCAATTTTAGTAGTTCCATTGGTGAAGCAGATATTGAAGCCTCGAAGGAAAATGATTTTGCATATGTCGAACACTGATCAAAGGCAAACTAAATTGTAAGGTTAGGTTTCCCAACTATGGGTCTTTCAATTGAACTCTATTACGCTCAGAGTGCGTCTGTGGCTGTATCAATTCAGAGTTTGATTTCAGCGCCACCCGTATCTTAATAGAAGTTGCTACTGAAGTTTTGCATTGATGTAGGTTAAGAAAGTAGGCATAATTTCCAGTTTTGCTTCTTTTTCTTGGTGCGTTATAAACATCAAGAAGGTTATTCTAGTGCTACGGAACTTTACATGTGTTTTCATGTATGTTTTTATGTAATACCACTAGGTTAAATGACCTTAGTAAAAAGTAATGCAACTTTTTAGAACAAACCTAATTTGGTAATATCGTAAATATGTTAAAGTGCTGTGATAGTGTAAAAATCAATTGTATAGTATATATAAGTTAAATTCTTGAAGAATATTTTAAGAAAGAAAAAGGAGTAAAAAGCGAGACAAAAATAAGCAATCATTCCTCTACTAAGAGGGTGTTTGGCTAAGCTTATAAGCTTGTCAAACTAGCTTATAAGCACTTTTCGGTTTATCTACGCGTTTGGTAAAGTTAAAAGTGCTTATAAGTCAAAAATAAGTCAAAAACCATAAGCTGGTCACCCTCAGGCTCAGCTTATGAATTTTTAGCTTATAAGCACTTTAAGTTTGACTAAGAGTTTTACTATTTTATTCTTAAAATATTCTTTTTTAGAACAAACCTCCTACATCGATACTCAATGCCTCGAGTATTCAACCTAAACCCCCCTCCCTNNCCCCCCCACCCTCTTCAAGTCTGCAATTCTCATTGGCTATTTAAGATAAGCAAATTCTCTGTTCTTTTGCATACTTATATGGGAAATTACCAGCTATGTCCATTTATAAGTTGCTCATTACAAAAATTGGCCAATTGATAAAATATTACTAATATTAGCCAAATTAGCCAATTAGCTATTTGTAGCAAAAAAATATCAAATTTTTGCTTTGTTTTGAGTGGGTGTTATTAGAATAGATTGGGCACAACTTAAGGAGCTTGAATCTCAGTTTTGGGATGATTTGGTGAAGTTTTGAGGTGGTTTGAACTGAAAATCCGAAGTAAAAGCTGAACATGAATAAAAATGATATGTATATCACATTGTGTATCATTTGTGTATCACATATGTATCATATTTGTATCAATTGTGTATCACATGTATATCCATGTATACCTGTGTGTGTGATACATGCGTGATACATGCTTGATACATGTGTCGTAGAAGACTTTATTGAACTCGATTTAATTACGAATTTTGATACAAAACCAGTCCAAATCACCTCCAATCTTCCTCAAATTTTGTATATTGACTTATCTATATATTTTCAATGAATTTCAACTATACCCATTGAAAAAGTTCCTTTTTTGTTTAGATTTTTGGAATATTGTATAGATTTTTGTATTTCATCACCTTATTTGCTACCCCGTCCATGAAATTTCCTTTCCGTCTTGTATCTAATGTTGCTAATCACGTTTAAAAATATGGAAGATGATTTTTGCATGTGATTCTTTGAGAGAAAGAACCCTATTATTTGGTTTTTCAATTTTTGTTGGCTAGTTTTGGTAAGTCTATGACTAATGGCTAGAGGTTGGTAAGTTGAGATTTATTAGGGACATTTGTGTAAGTTTCTCTACTTATATCTATGTGATTGTGTATTAATCTTTGAACTGTATGTAACAAATGAGGACATATCAAATTTTTGATGTATTGCTTTCTAAGTGTTGTGGTGATGAAGACAATGTTTGTTTCTCTTTAAATAATTTGTCCTATTTAGGTTTGTTTTTTACTGAGAAACTTTTGTCAATTTATTAATTATTATAACTTATGATTATATGCTTATCATAAAATAAATTATATTTATCATAAAAATTATCTTATTTAAGCACAATTGTATTTAAAATAGAATGACAAATAGAATATTTTGCATTTGAATCGTCTGGAATCTAAAATTTTGAAGAAATTACGCCCTTATAAGTGTAAACAGTTCTAAGGTTATTTAAGTCATTTTAGCAGAAAAAGAACTTAACAACACTTTTTTAACAAATACTACAACAACTTATTATCAATTTCAGCACTTGTACCCAAACACGTAACTGCTTATTTATTAAATCAGTTTCAGCACTTAAAAGTGCTTTTCAGCACCTAATGCTTATCAGCTACTTCAAATCAGCTAATCCAAACGGGCTCTAAGTTGGAATAGGGAGGACTTATACCCACGGCATACCAGCTAAAAGTTCTGTTTTTTTGTTACTAAAAAGATATGTTTGTCATCAATTTGACTTTCCAAAGTGTCATTCTTGTGCACCATATTACTCTTTCTTGCTTTAGCAGATATGTATGGAAAAGAGATTTGCAAATGCGACAATATCAAGACTTAACTGCTCAATGTTTCTTCTGTAAAGAAAAATAAATGATATTCACAGATTTTCTTTCCCCTTTTCCTATGTAGCTTCAAAGTTGAGAAGTTGCCCTACCCAAAAATTATGTAAATGCTTCACGTTGCTGTGTAGGTAGCTCCAGTTCAGGCTCAAATGCTGTTAGCCGAGAAAAATACTGATCTACCATGTCATCTGTTACTTTATCCAAGCTTGGAGGATCCCACTGCACGTTTTAACATAAATCAAGAAACGCTCTCTAAGGTTAAAGTTGACTGTTAGGAGAGTTATCATAATCCATAAAAATAGCATATTGGTTCACAATAATATTGATTTACCTTAGGTGCAAAATCTCTATCCACAAGCCGTGCACGAACACCCTGATAGGAAGATATTAATACACAGTGATGATCGTCTACGGAATTTAGCACTGAGACCTTTTTTGAGCAGCATATATTACCTCACAGAAGTCATTAGTTATTTGTCCAGAGAAAGCTTGTACTGTCATTCGATACTCACGAATTAGACACTGGTCCAAAGTCTGATGTCTACCTTCGCGTATCTGATCGCAAGCATTATTGGAAGGTCATCTCACAATGCCATGGTGGCATAGGGGAAAAGTAAAATATTCTATCTAAAAGAACTTACAGATCTCAGTGAAACCTTCAAGCTCAGTGGGGCTGTTTCTTGTAGTTTTCTCAATGTTGAAACACACCATGCATCTTGCTTCTTGGCTGCCTCACTTTCCTGGCAAAATTTAAATTTCTTTTTAAAAATGTAATCACACGTCCTTAAAAACTTCCACACATGTAGCAGACTTTTATATGTTTACTTAAATACTTTACTGTCAGTATTTTAAAAACAAGAGAAAATCCATCTCGCTCGAAGAGCACCCAGAGGTTGTAGATGCAAACGCAATGACTCAGCTTGTACTATGGTGCAAAAAAGTGCAGCATTTAAATGCTTCTCTATGCAATTTATACGGAATGTTAGAATCTCCACAATATGCTTTGCCGAAAGAATGATAGATATCAGTTAGTGTGAGAACAGCACCAGGACCTATAGGTACTATTTGAACCCCAGGGAGCAAACAAAGAGTATGCTGAGCAATGATCATTGCATTGTTTCAGATTTTTCAAATAGTGGTAACTTGTGATGGCCAAGGTATTAAAAGCAAAGCAATCCGATGCTGAACACTATTGCATTGATCAACTAAAATATGTTTTCACTGGCACCTAAGAGGGTAGACTGTAGCCAAATAGTCAATGAAGTCGGTGAAAAACATGGGAGACTAGGTTTGAAATCTAGCAGAGTCGGAGACAGAAAGGCTGGGTAATTTCTTCCTCTCTGCCTAAAATTTGGTAAATAGCAAGTACCTGCTGGAATAGTCGAGGTGCGAGCAAATTGGCCCAAACACTACCGTTATAGAAAAGAATAATGTTTCTACTGGCCACATTTGCCCATCCGATCGAGTTTCTTACCCGGTAATAGCCTTCACACCCCAGGCTAGTGGAATTAAGATGTGCTATCCTATATAGGCTTACTTCGTCCTCCACTAATATGATCTTATCCTGTTACTGGAGTCGAAGATGGTATGTTGGCGAGAAGATGGTATGTTGGCGAGTCTTCCACCTTCTGAATACCACATTTTTAATCCCTGTTCTTTCTTTTCTCACTAGAGATATGAAGCAAATTAAAATCAATTAACATCAGAATTTCGTATCTTTCAGAGACCTTTTCAGTATCTTTGGGAAACAGGTTACACAGTCAGAGGAACTACATGCTCACCAAAGCATCAATAATTTCTTCGACCGTGTCATGGCTGAAACATTTATTGAGAGTTTCAATCCTAAAGAAAGAGAAAAGATGGATTAGATTAAGCTATCAAATACAGATTGATCTGCAAGCAAGATCACACAAACTTGATAAGAATTTATTTTTATAAAAACAAAAGGTTAAAGAACAAGATTAAATAAAGATCCATGCGAAACTATGACAAATGTTATCATGAACCACAAAGTTTTAAGAATGTAGTGTGAAGTTTCAGAGAGCTGAAATTTGTTCCACTAGTTGATGTATTTTATATCACTCAAGGAAAAGTTGGTGCCATGACCAGTTTCTCGGATGAAAAAAACAATTTTGCCACTTACAAATCTAAGTGAAGCTAAATATGAAGAGCTAATTGCAGGATTTTGTGTTTACTAAATCAAACAATTTACCAGAAATTACCAATTTGATTCCTCGAAGAAGAAAGTAAGAGATTGATTTGCAATTCTTTCTTTTTGAGTAGTATGATAAAAGTTATGAAATGAGGGCAAGTGTCTCATCCAATTAAACCTATAACTTGCTTTCCAAAAGCAGGTAAGATACTGAAGCAAGGCTGCAGCGTGTCCATTTATGATTTCAATTAGCCAAGGGATTCTTTCTATGTTATATAAGAAGGGTGAAGGGGATTTCCCGAAGATGTAGGTAGGGTATCCGCTGACTGATGCGGTATATATGCTTGGTTAACAACTAGAAAAGGTGTTTCAAATCCAAAAGCAGCCCATAACACAAAATGGTAATTTGTATCAGTCCACCCCCTTTCAAACTGTAGCAGGAACTAACATAATTATGGACATTCCATTTTACATGTTTACCAAGGATGGCAGGTACCTGTGAAGTACACTTGTTGGATCTGGATGGACAATCTCTCCACAATTTTCAAGAGATCTTTCAATCACTGAGGGATCATCAGTCATCAATTTACCAAGTTGTTCCTCAATTAAGGGAATCTTCTGAGAGGAGTGGAGAAGGCAGAGAAGAAGTTTTCAGAGCAATAGTCAAATAGACTAAGTAGGCTATTGGTATCTAGGTGCAAAACAAATTAAGCACAGGTAGTAGACTTACTGCACTGTGTAAGTAGTGAGTAGCAAGCCCACAGGATATCATTTCTGCTCCATTGATCTTGTCTCCAGTTAGGGCCAGGTACTCTCCTGCAAATTGAAAACATTTAAATAGCTTTCTTCCATGCTGATTTTTTCTTTCATTTAGGCAGTAGCAAATGTCCAAACAGATGAGAGACAGAGAGAGGCAGCATACTAAAAACATATTCCACTTGAACCACAAACTAGTATAGCATAAGATAGATAGGGCTTACATGAGCTGACATGCGTGCATTAGGTTGCTTAACATTGTATTTGCCATAGAATATGAAGTCATCAAAGAGTCAACCATGTAAGTGCGGTGCTACATGATCTAGCGTGAGTTATCAGTTTTCTACAAATAAAAGGCTTGTAATCCACTAATTTTAGTCCGCCACCATTTAAAGCTGAATATTAAATAGACAGAACCACATATTAACATCACCGTATTAAATCTTTAATAATTAAAAAACTATGGCAGTCCAGACAAATTCTGAACAGAGGTAGGATTCAAAGTTATATTCTCCAAAATACATGAAACAGGAGGAACACAAGCTCACTTCCCAATGAGACAAAAAAATAAGATGAAGTAAAAAGAACATCACGTTAGTGCATATATTTTGATAACAAGCATATAATAAGGGAAACGTCCAGATATAACATGCTTACTTTTTTCCCATAGAAGAGGAGATTGGGGAAGGGGGGGGGGGGGATCAGATAAGTAGTTTCCAATTAGATAAAGATAATTCATCACCAAAGACGATCAGCTACAACATGATAGAAGTTACTGATGAATCCAAACCACAGCACGAGATCAGCAAAAGATTTACCTAAATAACCAGGGAGGTGTGAAAGGTAAAATGACGCCCCAGCATCAGGATGGTAACCAATCAATGTTTCTGGTGTGGCAAAAACCTACATGATACAAGACCCAATACCCTTATAAGAACTGTGAAAAATTGCTAACAGCACTTGAAACACCTAAACTATCACCTCGCGCACTGGCCAAATTTGATAGACCTCTTTGACTATTAAGTTCGATAAAATTTTATTTTCCTGAACATTCCTTTAGTTCTTGAGAAATTTAAAATCAGGTTGTAGCATTTCAATAAGACCAAGATATCTTAATGTTTTCCGCACTTTAAACGCTAAGCCTGCGGTTACAAGTCATATATAACGGAAATAAACAAGCTTCATCACGCAAAGTCAAAAGAATTAATAATAAACAATTGAAATTATTATTTAATTTTATGGTATAAAGAAATTTCATCAATAGAGCATTCAATTTAAGAAGATTAAAAGATGAATTTTATCAAATTAACTCGGTACGAACGCATAAATAGATAATAACAAGGAAAAGCAAGAGAAGGCGCAGAGGAAAAATTAGCTGAATAAGCTTGTACCACTAGGATTTGAACTTCTCCCTGAAGAGAACTAATTCAGATTTAAAGAACAGAAAGCTCATGATATGTGAGTCACTAAGCTTTAAATAAGAATGAGCACAAATGGAACTTCACATCACTTAGCGATGTAGTATAGCAGTTCTTGAACTAGGAGAATTTATTCTGAACCAACAAATGAAAAGCTTAAACAAATAAAACATGAGTAATCTTTTCCATACAGTTTTCTCAGTTGCAACACGGAAAGTTCCAGGAATTGAGATGCCAGCCCCACCACCCATGGTAATTCCATTCAAAAGTGCAACCTGCATATGGCATCGGAGGATTAATATCTTGGAAACTGCATCCAGGGACCAGCTAATGTAAACAAAAGTATGACAAGTACTGAATATGCAATGACTGAATTCCTTTAATCAGAAAGTGCGAAAAGGCTCTATTCGATAAAAAGATACAAAGAGATAAGGATGATAACTACTGATAAATGCACACCGGGTTTCTGAACTAAAAAAAGACATATATTATGATTAATAAAAGAATAAAAAGACCATTACGGTTGCACCTTGTCAAAGCAGAAAATGATCATATGATTTTAACAAAATAAACAACTTCCAAAATTGAGGAGATATAGTTTCATGGGCAAAAAGGAACAGATAAAGTAAGGTCTAAACAGGTAACCACTTTGTTGAGCATCAACAACAGCTTATCCCAAACCTCTCATTTCAGAAGTCAAAGAACACAGCAGCAAGAGAACTAGGGATGAACTAAGAAAATGGAGTTGAATATCTATGAATAATTAGATCAAATTTGCATTTGTCCTAAGAAAGTTTTTTAAACTTATGAATCATAATGCGACTGATTATATTTTTCTCATAGTTATGAAGATTGTACAGCAGCCAGCATGATAAAGTAATGTTGCTACCATTTCAAGTTTGTAAATAAGATCCAATCAAACTTTGGCAAGACACATCTAACCTCTCTGAATACCTTTTTAATTCAGAAAGAAGTGATTGGTGTAATTAACTGTCGAGATGCTGTCTTTGCAGCAGCTTAGTCACAGTAAGATGAGAGAGAATCCAATTAACAGAACCAAGCAATCTTCTAATAAATCCAGATATTTCTTTTGATAAAGATAAATCCAGATATTTCTATAAGAGTATTTTTGAAACTGCCAGCATAAAGTACACAGGTGTTAAAATTTCAATAAGCATTGGCGAATATAGGATGAGAATGTTGATTCACCATCTAATAGAACTTACATATATTTTTTAGAAATTCTTAGGTTCCAACTACAGAAGCATATTTTAGTATGCGGAAGTCTAGACGCACAATTAGATCACAACATAAAAGACATGTAACTGCAAAATTTATAAGACACTGGCCTCTATCAAGGTTTAGTAAATAGAACAAAAGTTCCTGATACATATATAAGAGGCAGAAAACAGAAGAAAATTCAAGTCAACAGCTTCTTTTAGCATCTGATGTTTGAACAATAATGATACTTACATGTGGCTTCAAGAGTGTGCCAACAAGGTATACTAAGTTATTTATTGTCCAACAAAAATCTTTACAATCTTGAAGATTCCCTGCATCATCCAATACAAAATAATATTACACAAAGAATGGAGAAGATCAAATTAAAATTGAGGTAATAGAAAATTGGCAGCATGAAGATGCCTGCTGCAGTTTTTAAAACGATGCAGAAACGTTTTAATTGTTCCCTAATATAAATAGATATCAATACCCTACTCACTAAAAACAACAGAACATCCAACTATCGGCACAAATAGCTTATTAAGATAATTCACAACTAAACAACTTCTTCACAACCCAATTATACAATTATCGACAGTTTTTAAATATCTAAAATTCCTTTAACCATGTATCACTTGCAACATAGCAGAATATGAACAAGTTCGCCGTGAAGTACAACAGTCAAAATGACACAACATACCTTGTTTTAACAAATTATAAATAGTGACAATGTCACCCCCAGCAGAAAATGCCTTGCCACTTCCCTTCAGTGTTAAAGATTAACTCAGTTACTACTCAGTAGATTAACAGATGTAACTTCACCTTAAAATAATCCAAAAGAACAACAACAGGAAAATCCATAAAAAATTCAAACAATAATTTACTTAACAAATTACCTTCAATACCAAGAATCCAATATCAGGATCATCTTCCCAATTTTTGTACAGCTTCAGCAACCTATCCACCTAAACACAACAGTATCATGCAGAGTTTTTATTTATTATACAAGGTGGAAATTCAGATTGCAAACCAACTGGAATATCAAGATTCCCCAGTGTCATGTAGGGTTCATTCCCAAAGCCAAAACAAAATCAATTCAGCATAAAAACACGATTTTACTTAGTGGGTATCAAAAAAAAGAAAATCCAAAACAATAGATTTCGAAAATGGCAAAAACAGAAGCAAAAAGTAAAGGTGTTTAAAAGGCAGGAAACTAACAACTGAAAAATTGAGAGCATTTAACGCATGGGGTCTGTTAAGGATTGCTGTTCTCGAAGAAGCTTTTCCCTCCACTAACACCTGAAAATTGCAAACTCACATTTTATAAACAAAATGGAATTTTAGATAAAGAATCATAAATTAGATTGACAAAAAATAAAAAAAAAATCAGAAGAACTCACAGTGGTTTCGCGTTCATCAACAAGGGCATTGGTAGAGACATTGCAAAAGCTTCTGGAGTGAGAAACCAAGCGCGAATTCTGCAGTAAACGACTCAAAATACTTGCTGATTTGAAGCTCTGCATATTTCTGTTTGGATTTCTATTGGTAAAAGTTGTAAATAAGTACTAGTATTTATCTTTTATTCGATACAGCGGAATAATAAGAGATAGAATCACAGGTTGCTTGTCAAAAACGGCTATTGGCCCATTTATAGAAAGCTCGCTTTTGTAGTTAAATTGAACTTTCTCGTTATTCTCGTGATGAGCAAATATTTTAAAGCCAATAAATACTCTTCCAGCAGAAAAAGAACGGTCTCTACCTCAAAATGAAATTCAACATATTTCATTTATTTAGACCAATATGTAAATTTTGTTTTCATCTTAATACTATAAAAACATCATGTGAGACTTATAATTTGGGATATCAACTTATGGCTCGTGGCTGATAAGTAATTCACTTATAGGTATTTTAATATTTAGTAAACGCTTAGATAGATTAAAAAATAGTAATTATAAGCTAGTTTAATCAGCTTATAAGTTTACCTAAATAAGTATTTGTTTTTCGCTTCTTAAATAATTTTAATATCAAACTGAAATTAGTAAAACTATTTGTAGCAACTACAAAAATAAAGTTTTAATAAAATTAGATAATTTTGACTTTTTTCAAACCCCTTAATCTGTTAAAATCATCCCAGGTGGCATTAATATTTGAAGTAATTCGGGAAAAAAATTCTAGTACAACTGATAATATAAAGGGGTATATTTAAAAATTCATTTGAAAAATGAGGGAAGAATGTCAATTGTATATAGTTGGAGCGTGAGTTTAATTTTTAAAGCAACATTACAGGATGTAAATGATTGTCACCCATAATTTTTTTTTTCCTTCTAAAATAACAAATTAAAAATAACAAAAGAAATTACATATCCGATTGAGTGAGTGAGTCAGCTCGATCCATTGTATGTAGCCACCATACAGACCGAAATTTCTCCGTCACGGAACTTCTTGCAATCGCTTTCTTTTTTTCCCTTTTTGGGTAGACAATATTTTTTTTAGTTTTTATTAAATTCAGAGATATAAGACTATTAAAGTAGGAAAAGGATATAAGGAAATAGCGATATTTCGAACTCACATATACTGTACGTGAAACTTTTATCAATACCATTAGGGGTGTTAATGGTTCGGTTCGGCCGGTTATTTTATAAAATTTGTACCATACCAATTTTTCGGTTATCCTATTATGTATAACCAAAATTAGACTTTTCGAAACCGTCCCGATCATGTCGATTTCTCTTCGGTATTTGTACAGATCGGTTAATTTTTGGTATTTTTTAAATATCATATAAAATTCACCAGTAGAAGTAGAATGCGATAACATATGTTCTTTTATATGACTTAGATGAGTTAAAAAAAATGAAAGATGGCTAGAGTATAGATCCATCAACTTTCTACAACAGCGTAAAAGAAATCAAGCAAAGGCAAAAAAAATAATATAAATCACACGAATAGAAAGATATTAACCAAGATGGGACTCAAATAAAATTAATAGAATATTAAATATTCAAAAAGATAAATCTAAATTATATGAAAGGAAGCATATTCAATACATTGTAGTTTGCTACTCATAATCGCTAGAATACTTTGTGTCTTGCTAATAAAGATACTTGAAATAACTTAGTTTAAGTAGAAGTAGCATAATATGTTTTAGGAATTAGTATTTTGAGTTTAATTACTTGTTGGCTTGTAATAGATTTCATAATTCCAAGGCCCAAAGAAAAATTTAATGCATTAAACTTACTAGATAAATATATTTTCACATGTAACATTTATTTGGTACGGTTCGGTATTTTTCGGTTTATTTTCATAAAATAAAAAACCTACCCTTATTAGCGGTGCGGTTATAGATTTATATAAGAACCTACAGTTTCTTAAAAAGAAACCTAAAAGTTGGTTCGGTGCGGTACGGTTCGGTCGGTTTAGTCGGTTTTCGAATATCCATTGACACCCCTAAATACCACTAAAGTAGTGATAAAGTAAAGAATTCTAGCAAAGAATTAAGAAATAATGCAAGAATATCACACTTGAAATTTGAACATATAAACGGACGTAATTTCTAAATCACCTTTATAACTACACTAAAAATAATTTTCTTATATCAAGGCGATTCGATAATTTTTATTTATACATTACGTCGAATTAGATTTTTGTCTTTTCCTTTGTTTTTATTTTTATGTTCTTTTTGTTTTTGAAAGGATAAACCCGTGTATATAAAATATAAGAAATATAAAAAGTGCCACGTTCTTTATGGGATTTAAATACTCTAAGCTAAGTCGTATAAGGAGAAATCAATTCCCATTTAATTCGTAAGACCAGCTGATCTCATATGGCATGGCTACATATTATAATTTATATATTGTTGGTATGATCTTAGTATCTTGATGGTCTGACTTTAAGTTACGTGGTGATAAGGTAAGGACTATCAGCTTTCAAATCCAGAAGTAGTAATAATATCGTACACTTACGTAGTTCATTTGTAAATAAATAAATAATAAAATAACTGAAAGTTGCCCCACATGGAAATTGTTTATTTATAGTGTTTTAGGCCTTAGGTTGGAACTTCTTATTTTAAGTTGATACAACTGTAATATGGTATCTATATATTTAAATCTACATATATAATACTACATGGCTAGACCATGGTCCATGTATATCATTATATGATATCGAGTGTGCAAATACGCCATAACTAGAACTTTTTTCCCATGTTATTAAATGACCTTGTACGTGCTAAATTTTTACAAGTATGAAATTGACATATTGGGTCAACTATGATATTAAATACCTCGACCTCATTTTTTAAATATTGGGGGAGGGGAATGGGAAAAGGGGATAGGGAAGCTATGGAGGTTACAACTTATAATAAAGCGGACGGAACAAATGGTGGATAATTTTAATCCAAATGACGAAGATATTATTCAATAACGTCGCACTAATATAATGACAGTTGAATTCTTTGACGGATATACTTTTGAGACAAAAGAATAAAAATATAACGATCAATTTTTTCGTTAGACTATTTTATAACCCATACTTTTACGTATACAAAGATCTTTGTTTCCATTGATTTATGTTTATAGACTTTTTCTAGTCTTTCTTACTATATTTTAGTGAGATTGTATCTCCAAGAAAGTGCTTTTAACTTTCTAAAAACTTGACCACAAATTATAGGTTGATGTCCTATTTCACTTTCTTTTCCTCAAATGAAATTCTAATATATGAGAAAAAAACATATCTGGTCGAGGAAATAAATATGTGAGGGTGTACGAGTAAAATCGGGGCATAGCATTCCCCGATTCCCCAAAGAGGAAACAAAGGGGAAGCACGACTCAATGTGATTAAAATTTAGGCCCAAGAGCCCCTGTATCGAAACCCGGGAGGAATGAACGATGTATCTGAGATCGGGCACAGTGGAATAACGGACCCAGATCAAGTATAGCTTCTGGACGTTGGGAAATGTAGAGAATGGTTATGCATGATGAGTAGGGGACCGTAATGTTCGGCCTCGACCAGATATTACGGTGCGAATCTCGTCCAATATCAATTACGGATCGACATTTACCAGAAAAAGAAGATTTTTACCTTATTTAGACTTGTACTAGGACTGAAATTCCCCTACTATATAAAGGGGAATGTTTCTTTTATTTCAACGTACTGTGACACGCAAATCAAAGCAATAAAAAATTTACTATTGTCTTCTAGCTATTGTTCAAAGTCTTCTTCATTTGTTCTCTTCTTTATTCGCGATCGTGCTTGTACCGGAGGTCCAATCGAGGACGAATTCCATTGTTCAACCTAAGATTAGGCATGGTCATCATATTGCGATTAGTTTGATCATTTATTTTATTTTTAACCTTTTTGCCCGTTGTTCTCAATTGTTCGTATTGAATTAAATCACATATCCCTTAAACCGCGTACAAATTTAATTGTTACTTATTTTTGGGGTAAACAATTTGGCGCCCACAGTGGGGCTAAGGATAATAGTGGTGATTTGATACGAATCTCCATAACACTCTATTTTACTCTTGTTCTTTGAAAATTTGATACCAGGAAAGCCTAAGGATGTCAAACTCTCAGTCTGCTCACTTGAACATTGACGCTGAGTCAGGCCAACATGCTGAGAATAGTAACGTGATGCCTAGCAATGATGTGCCTCTTGTCGATTCCAACGGCGTCCCAGTCGCTGACCCGGTCAATGCCAACTTGCAGGTGGCCATTAACATCAATTTACTAACTGATCCCGAAACAATATTCGCGGGAGACCCTGTCCAGCGGCTTGAGAAGCACCTGAAGGTGAGGGTGATAGGGTGAGCCTGCGATTGATTTTCGAAATGTTGTAGGCTCAACATGCTGCGAAAGCATAGCTGCAGAACTAAAGCCACGCCCCTAACAGGGTCGAGCCCGAACAGTCCCGGGAAAATACTCGTAGGGATGAACAAGTTGCCGTGGAACCAGGTGAAGTCAGGCCCGGGACACTTCCGAGGTGATAAAGATGCTCGAAGCATTGACAAAACGGGTGGATTCAGGCGAGAAAAAGATTGAGGTCAACGACAACAAGGTGGAAACGTACAACTCTAGGGTCAATCAGATCCCCAGAGCACCTCCGATATTGAAGGGACCAGACTCTAAAAAGTTTATTCAGAAGCCTTTCCCCTCGAGCGAGGCACCAAAGCCGATCCCGAAGAGGTTTCGGATGCCCGACACTCCCAAGTATAATGGGACCACGGATCCAAATAAGCATGTAACCTCCTATAAATGCGCGATCAAAGGGAATGACTTGGAAGACAACAAAATCGAGTCGGTATTATTAAAAACGTTTGGGGAAATCTTGTCCAACGGGGCGATGATATGGTATCACAACTTGCCTTCGAATTCTATCGACTCGTTTGCTATGCTTGCAAATGCTTTCGTAAAGGCCCATGCCGGAGCCATCAAGGTCGAGACCAGGAAGTCAGACCTTTTCAAGGTCAAACAGAGGGATAACGAGATAGCTCAGGGAGTTTGTGTCGAGGTTCCAGATGGAACGGATGGATCTGCCACCAGTTGCGGAGGATTGGGCCGTTCAAGCATTCACTCAAGGGCTTAGCCCCCGAAGTTCCTTGGCCTCTCAACAGCTAAAGCAAAACTTGGTGAAGTACCCATCGGTCACCTCGGCCGATGTCCATAACATATATCAGTAGAAGATCAGGGTCGAA